CATGCACGGGCTGCCATCCTTTTTCTTAAAAAGCACAATGGGAGAAGCATAGGGGCTGCTACTCTCTCTAATCACCTTAGCCCCTAGTAACTGGTTAATATGCTCTTTCACAACCTCATACTCCGAAGGGGGGGATGCGCCTCTAACGCTGCCGCACCGAGATATCATCTAAGAGCGGAATGTCATGGGAGATCAAGTTAGTGCAACTCAAGTCAGTGTCATGAGCAGAAAAGACCGAGCTGTATGTCTTAAGGAGAGACCTCACCTGTCCCTGTTCCTCTGCTGATCCTGCACAGTAGGAGTGGCGGTGTGAGATGCCATTGTGGCTACATTAAGGGGTATTTCTGTCACACCAGCAGGCAAACTGACCACGTGAACATCCTCCAGGGTCCCCATAACGGTCCTGGGATGAAGCAAAACTGCTGTGGTCCCTACGTTAACAACTGGTATGTATACAGTACCTCTAACCACTCGAACCAATGCAGGGGACACTTAAGTCCAGCAGGCAAGTTAACATCATTGGGTTCAAATAACACTGTGGCACCTGAATATTGCTCAGAACAGGTGGCGGCCACTATTTTCATTACACCACCCGGAATGCAACATGCTCGCTTACCTCTCACTCTCACATGGCCAGACAAATCCTGTGGGGCTCTCGTACTAACATCATGGCACTTTTGCAGCGCATGCACAAGGGGTTTAGGGGCCAGACTAAACAATGCTTCACCATGTTGCCCAAAAAGCTCATGGTAACACTTCCGAATCACATTCATCCCTAATACACCCGGAACCGTAGAAGGCCCTGCAACTGGAGGATCTTTAACGATCAACACGCCACACTGTGGAATGAACTTACCACAGAGACGTGGTTCAATAATAAAAACAGACAAATTATTATTTAAACCAGCATATAAAAACACGAGCCTAAATATCAATATACAAATATTCTAAAAAAGAATTCAGAGCCAAGGCTTACCGGTGGAGGGGCGGGGATGCCGCGCACAAAAACTTCTCAAAAAGAAAACTCGTGCGACTGTCTGTGCAGTGTCTATTTGTGTCTGTCTACACGTTGGGTGAGTGCCGAGTATTTGGTTGTGCATATGGGGTGGGAATGCACGTTTGTGTCCGCGTGTGCCTGTTCGTCTGTGTCTATATGTCAGGTTGGGTCTTAGACTCAACCTCTCTGGGTACATCTCAGGCCCTCTAAAGTACGGAGGCCTATCTCCCCTCACCACACTCCCTGCCGGTGGCTGATGCCCTCAGACGTTGGTGTGTTGGTGGTCCTTGTCGTCTGGGGCTGGGCGCTCATGTATGTACCGGCTCACTCCTGGTGGCCGATTGGCGGGGCCGGGCGCCTGTGGCCCGGCTGGGCTCCTTCCGGGGGGTGGGATGCCCTCAGCTTGGCCTCTGGGCCTGAAGCTCGGTCCTCTCTGGCACAGCTGGCTGCCGGCAGAGCCCCGGGCACACTGCAACCCCTCTGGCCTCTGCTCCGTAGCTGGGGGTGACCCTCTCGTTTGGGGCTCTACTCAGCTCTTCCAGGAGGGTGGCACGGTTCCCCCCCTTTGGTGGTCCTCCTCGGGTCCTTGTACTCTGGGGCCTCTGGATATCTGGGGCCTGGATCTCCTCCATACCTGCTTCATACCCTGGTGGACGGGGCTATGGCTCCCCACACTCCCTAGCAGATCGTTACATGGAGAAACCTTTGGAATGCAAGCATGCTGATCCACACAGGTATGCACACAGGTGTACACACGGGTGTTCACAGACGCGGACTACACGCTTTCTTGGCTGCTGCCTCAAAGCACATTGTGCGCTGTCTATCTTGCGTGCTGCACAATATCGTTTATTATTTAGTATCTACTGATATCTACTGCTAGCTAGTTTATTGTGATGGTGCTGTTTTTTATTATGTTGCTCTTTGTTGTTTGCTTTCTCTTCTGTTTTTTTTCTCCATACAGGTGATCCAGGTGTTTTGTTTGTTTTTTTTCTTTCTTCCCCCCCTTCTCACCGTCTCTTCTCCCCTTTGGTTTTCTTTCTCTCCCTCTCTTTCTTTCATTCTTTCTCCCTGTCCTATCCCCCAGTCATGTCTGTCCCGTTTGTAGCAACTGAAAATAAAATAAATTCATAATTATAATAAAGGTCAATCAAATGGACCAATATGGCAAGGCCATGATGATCCACTTGGTAAAATAAATCCGCTTGGCATCTTTCTTGGCCTTAAGACAACAATTCTGATGGCTAAAGATCCAAACGGGACACAAAAAAAAAGAAAAAAAAAAAAGAAAAGAAAACTCAACAATACACAAGTGCAGCACACTATCACACGCTCATACTAATAAAGTAAAAATGCAGGTGTGTAACACTCAAAGGATCCCACCACCAAGGTACCCCAGTCTCCTCCACGTCAGGCCCTCCGCATCTGAATAAAAGAAAGAAAATTATAATATATTCCAAGAAAAACTAATATGCAAACGCGGGGGTTAGCCCAACTGCAGGAACCCACTGGTGATCCGCAGCTAGAAAAAGGGCCTCCTACCAGTGGTGTAACAAAAACCCAAACTACAAATCAAAACAGAGAAACAGACATACGAACTAAATAAAACCTTAAATCTGGAGCAGACGGAGTCACTGTATTACTCCAAATTGCCGTCGGCTCGACTACTTTATTTTAACAATTCAGTCAATCGACGTGTAATTAGCCGCTGTCCACGCCGTCCACTCTTAAGAGGCTGGCAGCAGCAGGGAAAAAGAACCCTCGCAAACGGAAATAGACGGTAAAAGGCAAAGCAGCAGCACTTCTGTTAGCATAGGGTTGTCATGATTCGGCTGTGTGGCAGGCAGGAAGTGGACCCAAACGCAAGCTCACAGAGGCAGGTATGAACTCAAAACACAGCTTTATTGCTGGAGGGAAACAGCGAAACAAGCTGATAAGAAACTACACTGGGAAGCAACACACTAGCACACAGAGAAACACACGGCCATGAATGAGGGAGAATACGACACTGAACAGAGGGAGACGCAGACATAAATACACAGAGGTTTAACGAGGGAGGTGGGAGCACACGGGGAACACAGCTGACACAGATAATCGTAACGAGACAGGGCAGGAGCAACACAACATGACGCATACTGACGGGAGACTGTCAAAGTAAAACAGGAAGTACACAGAGGCGCAGACAGGAGGAGAGAGGGAGCACGGGGAGAGCACAGACATAACGGGCTGGGGAAAACATGGAATAAAACACGAGGGGAAACGAGGGCTCACAGATACACAGAGGGGCACACAGGGGGTAAAAGTCACAAGGGGAAGTCAAATAAGGAACAAAATACAAAAATACATGAAACTAAGAATGCTGGGCCAACATGGCCCAGGATCATGACAAGGGTAGCGTAGAAAAGCCGTAGCGACCTTGCTGTAGAGCTACTGGTCGCCCACTAAAGCCCACACTTCCTGCAAAGCATGAGTGCTTACTATAAAAGAGCAATAAAAGGCAGAGATTGTAACAAAACTGAGTCAAACTGAGTACCAAGTAAACAACGTCACGAATCATGAACAGAATGGCTCATAGAAGGCTTCTACAGCTACAACCTATAAACAACATTGGTTTACCACTGAGTGAAATAATGTATGCACTGCACTGAGTAAACACATACCAGCCACCATGGAGGATTCAGGAAGGTAATCCGCGGGTCATCTCTGTAACACGAACACCACAATCAACACAAGTACTGCCAATTCAGGCTGAGGCAACAACGACATGTACACAGCTCCTACCTGCAGCACCGGGGGAAGTCAGGTGACCGAAAGGAGATAACAGGTACGCGATTCGGGGATGCTCAGATGGCCACTATTTATACTAGCGCCCCTTAATGCGCCTGACTGAAAGTGGGTTGAACCAAGACATAATATTCATCCTGCCACACTTAACCAGATACAGACTAGTTGTCCTCCCACAGTATAAATCAGTAACAGAAGGTACGGCCTCTCTCATGACCCCAAGAGGTGTGTATGCCAGAACACTTTGGAAGGCGCACAGAGTCTTTACAGACTGCTAAGGATCAAACCTCTATCATTATGCAATCGATTATAAAACTCTAAGCATATATGAGTATATATTTCTAAACATAAATGACAATCCAATAATATAAACCTTGCAACCAACGTCATAGTTATTCATAGTTGTTCTGTGTTGTTAGAAAGTCTCCCTGTGATCTGGTTACTTTGTGTCCACAGAGCACTAGTTGGTAAAGTTACAGCTTAACCAAAGTCGGCGTTACATATGTGCTTATACTATTAGCTTATGTGAATGAAATCAGTTTAACATCTGTGTTTTGGACTGTGTTGCATGTTGAATAATCTGAGCCATTTTTCATTCATCTCCTTTTGTCACCAGTCACCATCATGCGGGCACGCCATCTGTTATGACAAGTGACACAGACACACGCGGGTCATCCGTGCAGTCATTATGTGTAGATGTCACTGACCGAAATGAGTCCCATCCACGGTACATTACAGCAGTGGCATTAGGGTGGAGTGCTGAAGATAGAGATGCAGGCTTAGCGTCGCAACGCTGAGTCACCCACAACCTGGACGCTCGTAAACAGTGGGAGCTCCACTCTTTTTTTATTTATCAGTGTAAGTATGCTATCACTCCTCACTACAGAAAGAAGTCATACATACTGTATTTTAGCACCATGATATTATACAGTGAACATGACTACCATCTAATAACAGCTCCACATAATTGCGTAAAGTGACCCTGACGTTATCAGACTGAGTGTCAGCAGTTGTGTCATTAATCTTAAACAGAGGAAAACGTTCGTCACTCATCTTTATAACCACGTTTTTAAGTTTAGAGTGGGAGTTGAGGTAATTGCATACAGCTATCTCAGGGGGAGGGCTGATGCAGATGATTGGAACACATCACTAGCTCGCCTTTAGAGAGGAGACTTTAAAACAGATGTAGTTAACTTCAAATTTCTTATTCTGTCCTAACAAGCAAGCGAACGAACATGAGGGAATACGGGTGGCAAAGTTTCAAGGGTTTCATCTTCAGAAATCCTGCTGTTGTCGACCAGGTAGGACTGCATAACTGACTGACCAGACTTTCACTGGATAACTTACAGCATAATATTTTGCAGAAATAGACGAAGGAAGAAGACGCTTGCCTGTATTTAAAGATCAGTTTCTTTTTGGTTTTGATGTAACTGTCACATATTTAGAAAAAAATAATTCAGCTGATAAATTAAACCAACTTTCTAGTATATAATTATTAATAACTAATAACTATTATAATGACTGATATCTTGTGTCCTGGTGTTGATTAATTAATATTTAAATTATGTACCATACCATTGTTCTACAACAGACTCTTCTTTCTAACATCTTTATTTTTTCTGAAAGTCCTGGTGCATCCAATAATTGCTTACATACATCACAAGTTTTACAAGTTTACAAAAGTTTAGAACTTTTTTAATGAGCAGGATCCACGTGTGGACGATGGGGATGAGAATACTGAGCGTGGTAACTGGACCAGTAAGAAGGAGTACATTCTCTCTATGATCGGATATGCTGTTGGTCTGGGAAATATCTGGAGATTTCCGTATTTGGCATACAAGAATGGAGGGGGTAATCAGCATTTATTTTCTAATCCATTATCCAAGATTCTATTTCAAAGCAACTATGTTTTTATAAGATTTGTTTTCCTCTTTACCACCAAATCCTTCATTTTGAGCAGGTGCCTTTCTTATCCCATATTTCGTGATGTTGGTGGTGGTTGGAATTCCTCTTTTCTTCTTGGAAAGTGCCTTGGGTCAATTCTGCAGCCAAGGTCCAGTTAATGTATGGAGTGCAGTGCCATTAATACAGGGTAATTTTAAGGGTTTTTTTTTTTAAATAAAAGAAAATGTTATGAATTAATCAACATTCCAATAAATACAAATGTGCATTTTTTAATCACTAGGTTCTCTGGATTATTATTTGCTTTTCTTAAGAGCTGCTTGCAGGTCACATGAATTATGAACAGTACATTTAATGAGGCTTGTGGCCAATGCAGAGCTGTGTCACCATAAATCAGCCCTAAACTCTCCTTAATAAGGTTTTTGGTTAATGGTCAACTGTGTGACCAAAAACTGACCCCAAACCCAATTTTGTTTTTTTATGACAGCTTTAATGAGGATTACAAAATTGTTTTATGTTCTTCAAACAAAAAGAAGAATGCTGCATTGTAATTAAAGAAACTGTAATAAGCAAAGTCGAGAGGACATTTTTAAATTACTACAGCAAAAAACAAAAACAGCATGCTTTTATGTATGATCAGTAAACTTAGACACACTTATTATGATTAGTTCAATCAAAAGACAGCTTTTGTCTGGTGAAGTTTCCGATAATATTTTTTTAAATTAATAGTGTCTTTTATGCCCTATCTATCCCTTCAGGTATTGGTGTTGCCATGGTTGTGGTGTCTGTAATAGTGTCTATTTATTACAACGTCATCATCGCCTACAGCCTGTACTACATGTTCGCCTCCATGCAGTGTCCTCTGCCGTGGTCCGGCTGTTCCAGCTGCGATGGCAGTAACTGCAGCACCACGCCTGAAGGTGCGTACATTATATTCTTGTATTCTTGTAAAGAGCAGCTCATTAAGTCTTCTGCTCTGTGGTATCTGCATCACCACATACACTGATTTAACATAAATTGATATCAGTCATAAAGATTATAAAGTATTTTGATGTGGTTTTAAATCTCAGTAACCTAAAATGTAAATATTCTGGAGAAATTAAAGCACCCACTACAGATCCAATCACAGGTACTTGTGTTGTGGTAAATACTGATATAAGATTTATATTTTGGACACTCACAAGTCCTTTCTCTTTTTTTAGTGTCCTGTAATGTAAGCAGTGTTTTGATTACCAACTGGACTCAGGAAAACAGCAGCTGCTCTTCGATACAGACTTCGAGTGAGCTGTACTGGGAGTAAGACTCAAACACTCGTGCACACAAGCATAAATAAAAGCACTTGTCACACTGTTTGTACAAATGCACATGTCTTCTTCTTTGCAGTAATGTGGCTCTGCAGAGGTCCAGTGGTCTTGATGAAACGGGGCCAGTAGTTTGGCACTTGGCTCTCTGTCTGCTGCTGACCTCCATAATTGTTACTGCTGCGCTCATCAAAGGCATCAAATCATCAGGCAAAGTACGTCAAAATCCTCCGTGTAGATGGACTCCTGTTCGTTTGTCCAACATACAAATCCACACATCTATTTAGAATAATTTAGTTTGTGATATTAGCTGTTTAGTTTCACAAACTAACTAAAAAGTCTAATAAGCATATGATAAGTGAAGTCACTGTGGTGTTTTTTCTTATATCAGCAGGGTGTGACTCCCCCTGCTGATGACCTCATATATATCATACACATTCTCAAGGACTCAATTGCTAGATTTAAATTATGTTCATGACGTAATTTTTTAAATTATGGTCCCATCCCACTATTTTCTTCGACTTCATCAACTCAGGTGTCATAGGACAAAAGGTGCCCTAAATGTATATATATATAGGAGAACCCCAAGAGAAACTACATAGGCATCAAGACAACAAGCGAACTCCACACATGGATTCAAAGGTGCTAATTACTGCTCCAAATGTTTTTTCCCATTTAAAATAACAAAAAATAAATGATAAAAAGACACCACATGCTTTATATTTTCTATTGTGCAGCCACGCCTCAGGCAGCTCCACACCTTGTTTCTGTTATCCAGTTTAAAAAAAACTCAGGATGGTTTTGAAACCTTTTATCAACAGTCTATAGTGCTGGTGTCCTTTTTTTAGTTTTGAACGATTTTATAGTAATCTAACAAACTATTCCCTTAGTTTCATTATTAGCTGAATGTACTGAAACAGGACTGATATTCATCATCTCATCTAACTCGAAGCAACTATTAAAGTATTAAAGTGTTAAAGTATTATAAAAATTAGGAAACCAAGAACAACAAAATGACAGATTGCACTTTTCGTGTGCGATGCTAAACTGTCAGTACTGAAATGCAGAAGGCCTGACAGATTTTAGAATTTAGGCTTAACAAATGTAACAAAATGCAGTCTTTTGCTTTTCCTGCAAAGTAACAAGTCTTTGTATCTCCAGGTTGTGTATTTCACTGCTACCTTCCCTTACGTGGTGATTGTGATCCTGCTGATCAGAGGTGTGACTCTAGAGGGAGCCAAAGATGGGATCGAGTTCTACATTGGTTCTCAGTCCAATCTGACCAAACTGACTGAAGTTCAGGTAGAAACTCTCACTGTTCATGTGCAAACTGTCACTGTTCATGTGCAATCCAATAAAGCCATTTGTTATCTGAGAAAAAAAACCTCTTAATGAGCTACAGTACAACTCTGTGTTTTAGGTGTGGAAAGATGCAGCAACTCAGACCTTCTACTCTCTCTCTATTGGCTGGGGTGGACTCATTGCTCTCGCTTCCTATAACAACTTTCACAACAACGTGTTCAAGGACTCGTTTGTTGTCACCCTTACTAATGCAGGTAGGGCCCTCTCTAACTAAATTTTAGAAAGAATGAAATTGTTTTTGCATTTCCTTTAATACATTTTCTGATTTGATCTCTTTCTAGGGACCAGTGTGCTTGCAGGCTTTGCCATATTTTCATTTTTGGGACATATGGCTCACGTCTACAAAACGCCAGTTTCAAAAGTGGTAAAGGAAGGTCAGACATACAACACCAACACACTCTCATCATTTGGTGTTAAATACTGCCATTCTGTCAGCTTTGTGCTTTCAGTTTTGCCTGTTTAAACAAAGAGTGCGACTAGGTTTCAGAAATTCATGGGATCCTTTACAAAGAGTGCAAGACTCATCTCATTGCTGAATATTGGCAGAATAAGCTGGATAAACCATGTTGGTTCCAGATGATGCTACCAGATGATTTTTCCCCTTTTATTTGTCTTTATGCAGGGTTTGGTCTGGCTTTCATAGCCTATCCAGATGCTCTGTCTAAGCTCCCCATCTCCCCGCTGTGGTCCATTTTGTTCTTCTTCATGCTTTTGACTGTTGGTCTGGACTCCCAGTTTGCAGGAATAGGTTAGATCTGAAGCTTCAGTTCAGTGTGATGTTTGCAGAACATTCAGCCCACTGCTGTTTAATCTACACAAACTAAAATCTCTTTTCTTGTCATTAGAGGTGATAACGACCTGCCTGCTTGACGCTTTCCCCACAGTCTTCAAATCCAAACATGTCTTATTAACTGTAACGTTATGTTCTGTCCTCTACCTCCTGGGTTTACCATGTGTCACAAGGGTAAGTCTGTCTTAGCACAACTTTCTGTGGCTGTTATAAAATAGTTAACTTGCTCAGTCTCTCTGTGTAAATGTATAATGTATAATGGTTTTGTGTGTTTTTCATGCATGTGTGTATCATAGGCAGGCATATACTGGGTAACCCTAATTGACCAGTTTATTGCCAGCTGGGTGCTGCTATTTTTGGTGCTTTTGGAGATTATTGCCATCTGCTACATTTACGGTAAGTACAACAATCTAAGTTTGTGCATATGAAAGGTGATTGATGGTCTTAAATTCCAGGATACTTATATTCTTCTTCCACCTTGCAGGGGGAAACCGTTTTATTAAAGACATTGAGATGATGATTGGAATGAAGACTTCCACATTTTGGCTGTGGTGGAGAGCATGTTGGTTCTTTATCACCCCCTGCATCGTAGTGGTGAGTACACAGTGCTGCCTTTTTTGCTGTACAAGAGAATTTAAAAGGCAAAAGCATTGTGTTAATTAAAAGTATCGACTTTCATTAACGTGCATAGGTGTACACAAATATCTTGTAGTTGTTTGTCTCTACCAGTAGTGAACTTTGTGTTTTTTTGTGACTTTTGTCTAGTTCCTCTTGATCTCGTCTCTGGTTTACTTTGAACCCCCTAACTATGGAGGTATCCCCTACCCAGACTGGGGCATGAATTTAGGCTGGTGCATGATTGCATTTGTCCTGATGTGGATCCCTGTTGCTGCTGGGTATAAGCTAATAAAGGCAAAAGGAAACCCCTGGAAGGTGTGTACTTGTGCAGTGGATTGACTGTGGATTATTCTTGTCTTTTTCTACATTTGAAAGATTGTAGTAGTTGTTGAACTGCTTGGATCTTTTTTTTCAGTCAGTCACACAAATGATTTGTGAGTATTAAAATAAATACACAGTACTAAAATTTACGCTTCTTATATTCTGCAGCGTCTGAAGTCACTGTGCTCGCCATCTGAGGAATGGCATCCCTATTTGGACGTCCATCGAGGGGAGCGCTACTCAGAAGAACGCTGCCGCCGTAGGAACAACAGCAAAAATAAAGCAGAAGTTAATCTGAATGTAATCTCCAGTTCGTGGCTATAATGAGGCTTCTCCTGCGTTTGCTCTATGAATACCTTGTTTTGAAAGTTCTGAAAGTTAAGTCATTTTTGACCTCTGGGAAGCAGAAAGCAGCTGAAATATAAACTCACAGCAGACGGCACAGAACTTACATGTAAACTTCCTGAAACCTGAGCGCTTTTTTTGGGATGTATTTTTAATTTCTACAGTCTGTTTGGTAATCGTTGGATCAGCAATTTAAAAAAAAGAACTATGTCCTTCGACAGGCAGAATGGGTTTCTTTAAGAGCACAATGCAATCAAGTCACCATTGCAAACAAAGTGTGAACACTTTACTGAGCAGAATGATGTATATACTGCATAACAGCTGAGATCTAATGTTCCCAAATGAGGATGTGGACTCTTCTTACTATCTAAACATTTCTTCTTTCTTCTTTTAAAAGAACTGTCTGGGTCTTTTCCCCTGTTTTTATGACCTATTGTACACTGTATATGTCCTGCTGCAGCTTGTGTGAGTTCATGTGTTTACAGAAAAAGAGAAGACTCAATCACACAAACAAAGTTGACATGGAGAAAATATATATATATATATATATATTTAATATATGTATTACTTGATAGGGCATTATTATCAGGTGATATTTTATTGGCAGTTTTATGTTTTGTTTTGGGGGTTTTTTGGTTTTTTGGTTTTTTTGGTGGTGGGGGGGTAATTTATTCTTATATTAGGAGAGATTGAGTCTGTGTCATTAACTATGCTAGTCTTTAAAGCACAGTTCCTTTTCCTGTGACTTCTATTCTGATATTTAAATGTAGTAAATAAAAGTGCAACTGATATTTTTTACAGAATTTGTCATATTTGATAAGTAGGAAAAGGAAACAATCAGATGTTTTTATTTCAGTCTGCTTTTGTGTTTGGTTAGTTGGTTGGTTGTTTTATGTATATATACACACATACATACATACATGTATGTGTGTATATATATATATATATATTTATGCATTTGAGTGTGACGCCACATAAATTCACTGAATAACTGTTGAGACATTTGAGTCTGGGCCAAGTTTACAAAAATATCTGTTCTACTAGCAAAAACAGTTGTGTTGTTGTTGTTCTTTTTGTTTTTTAGGTCTGGATCGATGCAGCCACAAAGACCCTTTTTTTCATGTCTATTGCCTGGAGCATAGTTTCCACAACATATAACTAAGTAAGTTTATGATTCCACTATGGAAATTCCACTATATATAGGTTATATCTGTTATTAAACTAACTTTAGGCTACAGTGATATGGGTTGATAACCTCTGTTTCATACATGAAGCCACCTTAGATTTGTCTGTCTTCATCCTGGAAGCCTAAATATCTCTGATATCTGTGAAATAGAGCAAATCTCTACGGTCTCTGATGTTAATTTCATGTTAGTTTTATGCACTGTGCGTGCAGGATTTGGGTCAGTCACTTATTGTGTAGGTCTGGCTGAGCTTTATATTACCTTATTTTGGTCCATTTTGTTCTTCATGCTTTTTGACTGTTGCTTTTCATTTCCTTTATTTGTAAGAGCTAATGCCCTCAGGGTAGCTTTGAACCCAGGCCTCTCCATTAGTCTGGTGACATATGGTTTGCCTGCTCTAACCAGTGAGCTAACTGGGTGCCCTTCAGTTCAAGCTTTCTTGTCATTAGAGGTGATCATCTTCTTCACCACCTCGCCTGCTGGATGCCTCTCCTGGCATTTGTAGGGATGAATGTCATTCTTGGACCTTCCATATGTAACAAGGGTACAGTCTGTCTGCTCTTTGTTGACTGATGTTATTACCCTGCTTTCCTGGAGTGTGTGTGTATTTCTGAGATAGGCAGGAATATACTGGGAAACTTTAATCAACTACTTTGTTGCTAGCTGGGTGATGCTTATCTCAGCCTATAAAAATCTTAGCTGCGACGCATGAAAGGCTTTACATTTAAGAAACTAATCTTCACAAGCAGTTTTAAAGGCTTTCCTCTGTTTTTGTGCTATCTATATTTCCAGTCTAATGCAAAAATAACTAAAAAATAAATAAAACTTTTGATAAAAAACTTGTTTTTCTATTACAATGTATTTTATGCAGCTTTTATCGTGTTCTGTTTGTATTTCTCTTTTAGATGCAGAAGAGTGAATAGATGAATAAATCAGTTGCTGATGTTTGAGGCTTTTTGTTATTTAAGAATAACTTGATATTGATTTATTGATTTGTGGACCCATGAAAACAACTTCACAAAACAGAGATTCAAAGATTCTTTAAATGCTTTATTTAGGTTAAATCAATGGCAGGTGTTACACAGCCATTCTCTGTGTTGGTGGGTTAGTGGATTGTTTACCCAGCTCATAGGTTCATTCATTTCACTGAGAGCGGGTGCAGCATTTGCAGCTGTCATCAAACACCTGGCCGGCAGTGCAGTATTGGACGTCGGTTTGTCCTTGGTTACACTTGTAGAATTTCTTCTTGTCGGTCGGGTCAGGGAAGAGTCCGTTCTGCTTGCCAGCACAGAAGCCAGATCCTGTGGTGCCTCCACTGGGCTGCTGGCTTGGTGCGACTGCATGTGGGGGGTTAGGCTGAGCTTTGCAGGCTGAGGAGAAAAATTAAAGAGATTAACAAAAGGGAAAGCTTTTACATGTCTATTCCCAGATGATATGTGGTTCACGCATACAAGATTAAGTTCCTAGTCCACTTTTTAGAGTGTTGATGAGTGGGTTTCGCCCCTGGCCGCAAAACATGCCGGTGAAGTCGTCCAAAGCCAAAGTCCATACCACAGCTCCACCAAAACCGTAATGCTTCAACCACTCAGTCTGCAAAATAGAAAATAAACCAAGTGTTTAATCAGCTTAAGAAATTAAAATTAAATAATTTAAATAAATTTTTAAAAAAGATTACTTCACACCTTTGCCTGGAAGCTCTTAATATTGTCATATCCAACCCAGACTCCCTGGTTATAGGCATAGGGCACATTCTGGGCGTTGTCCCAAGCCTGTGTGGCTCCTTCCTTCAGGAAGGTGCAGATCTGGCGGGAAGAAAAGATTTAAACTAACATGCATGAACTCTCCTGCCTAATGTATGCATTCACACAGATTAGGAAATAGACCTCGTAGTAGGCCAAGAATCCAGTCTGACGAGTGAAATGTCCAGCAGGTCCAGGTCCCCTGGCAGGAGCTCCCACAGTTGTGTTAGAGGAGGCCAGGTGGAAAGTGTGGCCAAAAGTGGGGAAACCAACCAGCAGCTTCTCAGCTGGGGCACCATTGTTCTTCCAGTAATTCATAGCATAGTCCTTAAAACAAGAGAATACAGAGCAGTTTGTCTAACTCCTCCACAATAGTTATTTTTATTAACGCAAAGCAGGAGTAAAAGAATGTTTAAGACCGAGGAATAATGACGCCTTCACTTACCACGTTGTAGTAGATCATGGATCCCTGGTCACTAGGGCCCTTATAGAGAGGGCTGTTCTCTCCAACATTATGTTCCCACAAACCATGGAAGTCATAGGTCATAACATGGATGTAGTCCAGCACACTTACAAACAAACACAGGTGCTAATGTTTAGTAAAAGCTGCGTTCTGGATGACAAATGTGGAGGTATGTAATGTGTGCTCACGCTCCAATCTGGGCAATCTGGTATGCAGAGTCAATCGTCTCCTTTCGAGCAGAGACAGCAGCAATCAGCAACAGACGAGGACGGTTTGTCTTCTTTCCCTCCTCCTCAAAGGCTCTCATCAACTCCTACAGACAGGCGAGGAACAAAAAGCAGTTACAGCTGGTACATGATTGTTTTTCTTTTAAACACTGAGAAAGCCTGAGGTCACACCGTAGGCCTGTTAAAGTATAGATCAGTCGGGTGGCTTGTTCATGTGTTGCTCCCATCGCTAGAGTAACAACTGCACACATTAACATTTAAATGGCTCTCTGGGTTTGCAGTCACCCACGCTGAAACATAAAGGATATCTGTGTGGATGTGGAAGTTATCAGAAGACCTGATAATAAAAACTGGAATCACTCAGTAGTCTAGATTAAGGGTGAAATTTCAGGAAGACAAGTGCAGCATTTTGGCAAGAGGTCATTGTTGCGATGACTCACCTTCATCTCTGCATTTTGGAGATCATAATCTCTTCTTCTTTGACTTTTGATATAATAATTTCTAGCTCGCCATAACTGGCACGACAGACAGCATACCAACCCAACTGACCTGTAGCAAGACCGTGAAACGCTCCTTATCCTGAGGTGGGGAGCCGCGAGAACCAGGGTACTCCTAGTCGATATCCAGACCATCAATCGTAGTGACGCAGGAAGGTGATAACACTTTTGATGAAGGTCTGACGATGGGCAGCAGTGGAAACCATGGTTGTGAACCTAGTAACAGGAAGATACGCAATTTCAACTCGAGATATAGTTTTATCTTGGCAACAGTAGTGAACCTCAGGTCATTACAACATACTTTTGGGTGCCAAGGTTCCATCCACCAATGGACAGCAGAGTCTTTAGGTTGCTGTTCCTGTGAGCAGTAACAACATCCATGTTAAACTCTCAAAATTTGCTCTGTGCTTCTGTATATAAATACCCACATATGCCTTTCAGTTTATCATCCCTATAAGCATTTGTGTGTACTGACTGGTTTTTCAAGGCCTGAAACTCTCCATAGAGTTTCTCATCGTTTCGATCGTAGGCTTTGATCATGTTGTGCTCCATTCCCGCAAAGGCGTAGATGAGATGGTCACAAAGACATGGGTCAATGTTGGTAGGGAGATAGTTGCTTGCCCCCAGATGGCACTGTGCCCGGCTCGTAAAATAACAGGAAAAGATGTACGATGTTCCTGCAAGACAAGGAATAGTTCTTACACTGTAACTGAAATGTGTCTACACACATCAGCCTAACACTGAGTGGATAAAAGACACAATTACCTAACTGCACATGTAGCAAGAGAGCCCGTCCTGCAGAGAAAGGAGATCAAAAAGGGTGAAGAAGGAGAAGGCAGGTTAACTACTCAGCATCAATTTGTATTAACCAGCTGAATAGAGATATTCTGTTTAAATGTAAGAAAGTTTTTGAAGTTCAACTTACAGGTGCAGATGAGTCTGTCCATGTTGCCTACTGTATCAGAGCAACATGAGGACACTAACGCTCTTTTATAGCCCTCACTTCTTCAACGTATGCGTAATATTTGTTAACTATAGCTGATTTGGCTAATCAGCAAATGCGGAAAACAAAAAACATATTTGTTTGCGCAACACGAGCGTTTCATGAGATTTCCAGGAAACGCTGATAACCTTCAGCATGCCTTTCGATAATGCGTTCGTAGGTTAAACCAGATCTCTTTGAGGTTACTAAAATGGGTTGTTCTGTACATCACACTCAATTTCTTAAATGTACTTTTCGCCTAAAAGGGAAAAAGTAACAGAGGCACAACCGGTGTCTCTTAAATCATTAGGAGCAAAAAATTGAGGCACTCAAGGCAGATTTGAAATAAAAAGCCTTCAGTTCAGTTAAAGAGGCACTGACACGTATCGCCATATATTTTGCCTTGCTTCCAATATCTAACTGTTTTTCGAGGGAAGCTCCTGTAAATTTCACTGAAGCACCATTTTCCAAGTACAGTTTGATAGTGGTGCTTATGTGGTTGTCCTCTCTGCTGCGCTCCTTATCATCCTCACACATGGTTCATGATCAGTTATTAATGTTATTCTGTACTTTAGAAGGGACATACAGACTTTTTGCCCTCTTCTATACTTGGAAGTAGATCAGTTGTTCTGTAATTACAATGGCAGATTCACACAATGCCAGCCAGCTGGAGCTTTTTCGTGGGGGGGGGGGGATTGTTTTATACATCCTATCTAGTCTTGATTTTTTACGACCTTGGAAATCTGCCTGCTTTTGGAGACTGACTTTGGGCCCTAACCAGCCACACTTCACACCACCATGACAGTGTGTTCATTCCAGGTGCTCTGGTTTTTTCCTGCACTCCAAAGACATGCATGTTAGGCTAAATGGTGATTCCAAGTTGACCGTAGGTGTGATCATGATTGTGAATAGCTGTTTGTCTTTTTGTCTTAGCCCTGCACTAGACTGGCAATCTGTCCAGGGTGTACCCTGCCTCTCTTCTTATGACACCTGGGATAGGCTCTACTAGACCAACTGCAGTGGACAGGCTCTAGACTCTAGAGCCTGTCCATTGCAGTTGGTCTACTCTAGAGTAGACCAACTGCAATGGATGGATCCTTAAGCTATTGTTTTATGCTTATAAAGCTTCATTAACAGATACTGACTTTTAGTGATTAAAGGAAAAAATGCCTTAAATATAAAGTTATCCGCACATGAAACCAAAAAAATTATTCAATATGAACAGTCTTTACAAGTGTTACAAGTTATACATATGGGCCATAGCTATACTGAGTGACAAGTGGGGTGATGAGACAGGCAGTTTGCATGGCATGGATTCTGCCTTATATGAACTAAGTTTGAACTAAGTCTACTGTATGTGTCTCAGTTTGTCTCCGTTTGTTAGCCAATAATGAGCTATCTCAGGCTGAAGTAGCTCATTATTGGGTATTGAAATTTCAGCCTGGACTGAAGTGGTGGATTGGCTGGCATTGTCATCCTGAGAGCCATTGCTAGGATAGAAACACAATCAACGCTGAGCCAGTATCTGAGATGTGCATCATCATACTGCAGTTTCCACACAATGCTGAGAAATATATTTTCAAAGACGCACATTATCACCTCCAAACAGCGGGTAGCCACTGCAGTTTCACCATTGCGCTATTCATTAAACTAACAGTGAAAGCTACACATTTTCCACTGATATATGTGGCTGCACCACTGTTGCTTCATTAATGGCAAGGACTGTGTATTTGATATTTTTCCAGTAAAAGAGAGAAAAACATAATTTTTTTCCCGTAAAAGTCTGAAATATCTTTTTTAGATTTTTAAAAGAGCAATAATTTATCCGACACCAGTCACCACAAGTTGTAATGGACTAGAAGAATGAGTGTATGTTTGGATAAAATGCGAAAAAAAAAATGCACCACATTGATAAGTGCGTGGGAAAAACATGAGCAGAGTATTAGATGCACTGCTTAATATCACCACCAGAGAGAGTCAATAAGCTGCGTAGCAGCTGGGTCCATTTTGTGTGAGCTGTTAAGCAACAACAGGCTGTTTATCCACTGATCGTTTCAGTTCCCTCTGCAGTGATGTCATTTGCTCTTTAAAATAGCCAGAACTTTTAAAAGTCAGAAGCACGCTGCAGGCAAAACAGGTCTCGACCCCTGAAACATCAGAGCTTTTTCTTTTTTGCTGTACAGATAAATTACATTGAACCTACTGAACTGCAAACTAAACTCTTTCCTCTCTCTCTCTGTCTCTCTCACCATGGCAACCATGCACAGGGAGCCAGGCAATGAACACAAACCTGTTGCCGTCTCCCACGCAATACACACAGCTGCATAAAGCGCACACACATACACAGACAGGCACACAGTGCTAGTTGACAGTAGAGTGACATGTGAAAATAGTGATTAATCCTGGTGGTGTTAATGTCGCTGTGTTGCACCTTCTGTTGGAGAGCAAGGACAGAGATGCTGAGCAGCTCCCATCTTCACTGGGGTTTAAAATGAAATAACTGTTAAGGTTATATTTGTATCTTCATGCCTTTGCAGCTGAGGAACTTATCAGATCATGTGAGCTTCTCAGATATGTGAGAGTGCATATTTAAAACAGAGGGAACAAATGGCGAGAACAAGACTTTTTCTTTTCAGTTTGAGCATGGACGAATGTGAAAAATGAGCAGTGACCTCCGGGGGATGTAAAAACGGAGCCAGAATGAAAGCTGCCAAAAACTGCAGTTCTTCTAATGGCCACTTGAGGCTGGCTCCAAAAGCAACTCAGTCCCGTGCTAAAATGTGCAGCTTTGCAGCAGTGCCTTCTGCTTTTTTACCCTTCTTGTTGCTGCTGCAAGTGGGATGCTTTTTGTTCAGTTTTTCATAGCTCACCCGTTTACATGTTAGTAAGAGTTAAATACAGGGGCAGGGGCACTTTGAGTGAATGGTGGATGATGGCACAGGAAGCTGTAAAACATAGCTAGTTCAAGGTCAGGCCAATGAACTCAGCCTCTTAACTGCGTCTTTGCTTTTGGTGTCTTCTGGAGTGTTTTTAAGGAAATCTAATAAATAATATGACCTGATGTGTGGTTACATGTCATGTTCAACCAAGAACCATGTTTCTTAAAGCTGTTTATCAGCCTGCAGCCGCCTTTTATTATACAGTGAGTGGTTAAAACTAGCAAATGTGTACTGAAAGAAAAAAAACAAGACGAAAATGTAAATACTGTAAAAAGTGTAAACACTGCTCTCTGTTCAGTTTTCAGAACTGATCTCATTCTCCACCCTCACCGCCTCCCCACCCACATAATTCAGGCTTTTCAACAGCCCGTTGCTATTAGATACTGCTGGGCCTATCACCATGGCAGCAAATGCTCAATAATTTTCCCTCAACTATGTTTCCGTGTGCAAGCTCTCGCACATACACAACCCTCCCACATCACATTTAGCTGTGCAGAAACGTCCTTGAGTGTTCCCAGGTCCAGTTGGGGAACAGCCCACCTGCAAACAGAATTCAGATGCTGTGACAGGATCGAGATGCTCTGCTGCACATTAGAAGATGACTTGTTTTAAAATCATTTTTCAGAAGCAGGCTGTTACAGCATGACATAACGGTTGCTGAATTTTTTTGTGCCACCATTCGCCCTGTGCATGTGTGGTTTTTCTGACGAATCGATCTCATTTCTTCCTGAAGTTTACAGAGCGCTTGCTTCTGCTCAGATGTGCTGAGAACAAAGAGCCTGTTTTCTTAAAAATGTAAATGATGTGACTCAGGATTTCGACTCACTGACAGCTAAAGACATACAGTACTTTCAAAATATTTGCAAGGTTGTGTCAAAACACTGTCACTACTGCTGCAGCAATGAGCCAAATTTGTATATATGCTGCCATACTTCTGTCTTTAGTGTGTGCGTGACGCAAATATATTAATTTTCCTGCACACATTTACACTTTGTCCTTGCACCTGATCTATCAAAACCATTTTACCTCCAGTGTGCTAATAAGAAACAACTGTAACAACGGCCGTGACTTGAATGTCCACATCATGTGTCCATGTCTCAGGAAGCTGATGTCAGCTCAGGGAAGATGAAATGAACAAACAGAGAAAAAGAAAGGTGAGGCAGGGAAAGGAGAATTGGGAGAGTGAGAGGAGAGTTGGTGGCGGTGGTTTGGGGTGGGGGGTTTAGGCAGAGCTGATTTTCTTTCTCCAATAAAAGCGACAACCCCTCCTTGTTGCTATGGCGACCCCCTCTCTC